TTCCTTCTGCTTCGCTTCTTCAGCCTCACGGCGCTGCATGCGCTCCTGACAGAAATCGACAGGAGCGGAGCAAGACATGCGAGAGACGGATCCGAGGCCGCCCACATACAAAGGGATCTCGGCACTTGGGTCGTGATAGGCCCTGCGACGGAGAAGTCAAGCTCTCTGAAAGCCGCGAAGACACATTTCCGGCGCTTGCCTTAGCAACTCTGTGATCGCCGAACAAACCTGCCCAGGCTCGGCTCTCCAACCCACCTTTCGCCAGCTACTTGTGTCACAATGGAGCGTCGGCGGCCCCCGGGTCGGCCTGAAACACACATTCCTGTCCAGCAGCTTGGTCCACCTGCCGTCACTTCTTGCACAGGGCAATGACCCGCAGAGGGCCCAGGAGCCCTAAGCTGAACTTCCTGACCCAAGACTGTGCCTCATCGACGACTCGCCTTGTCAGCTCCAACCAGGCTTCCTTGGCCAAGTTGTCCACCTCGACTGCATCTGACACACCGAGAAGGGGCCCAAACGGGCATTCTGGCCTTGTCCACAAGCAGGCAAGGCCTGTCTAGCTTGGATGGGACACACCGCATTCACAAAGCCATCAAAGCCATCGGGATCATGGGGAGCGAGCGTCTCGGATGGGTATAGCCGACCGTAGCTCACCTAGCGAGAATTTTAAAATCCAGACAGGGTTTTTAGCGGCGTGTAAAGCAAATCCACCTCCAGCTCCGCAGTGGGTCCACTGCCCGTGCTTGCTGCAAGCCGGACCTCGGGAAATGGATTTACCATAGCATGTTTGCAACCTGCTCCGCCTGGGCTACACGACCTTACAGGAAGCATCTCGCGGCAAGTAGCTCGGTAGCGCTTCACGGGTGTCGAAGGTCGGTATGCCTGAGGATCCTGGCCAAGATGATGTGCTAAGACAAGCAACGACACAGTAGCAAGTGCGAAACAAAGTGGACAACTCGTCAGCCGTCTTTGCACGCCGCAAACCCACGAGGACATTCAAGGCTCGGGGTCCGAGATAAACTTGACATGCCACCTATCGCCAACCGATGCTTAGCATGCTGGCCAGCTACAAGCGCACGAGCGCCACGTTCGACGCCCTGCTGAATCATGGTTGGGCTTGTGCCCGCAGGTCGTGGTGTGCTAGGCAGCGGGCCCTCATCGAAACCACTGCAGTAAAACTTGAGTGAAAAGCAGCTTTGCTGGAACAGGTGACAAAGGTTGTTGGGTGCAGGGGGCCACCACCCACCCAGCCCATCAGTCAGCGAACCGCATGCGGCAAGCGCTGTCGAGCTGATCGCTGGGGCACGGGCTCTGATCCATTGCAACACTTCGGAAAACTTGCGCAAAACCGACAGCTGGGGCATAGCATTTCTGCCCGAAGCTGTCCTCTTCAACGACGCATCAGGTCATGTCCCGATTGCCAGGGATCAAAACCCATCTTTGCATGGCGAACCGGGAGCGATTCAGGGGGATTTGTCCACCCACTTGTGGTTTCACGTGGCTTTGCCATCGCCTCAGCCAGGCGAAAAGCGCAAAGCAAAATCCAAAGACCAAGGGTCGATTGCTATTGTTTAGGGCACCATGACGGCCTATCAGCTAGAACCCTCCTGGTATGCGGACCTTTGGTGGCAGTGAGCGCTTCCAAGGCATCATGCACCTGAAAAGCCGGAGGCAGGCCGGAAGTTGTAGCTTTCTAGCTGTCAGGACTCGAAACGCGAAGAGCGGACCTTGTCGCTCGATTGGAACTGCTGCACGTCCTTTCTCGCCTCCTCGGCTCGCAGAGCATAGAAGTCACTCGGCTCTCCAACGGAATGCATCGTACTGCTGCAGCTCCATCCTCGACGAACTCTTGTGGAAAAACGTGTCTCACGAACCTCGGATGAAGAAGTCGGGCCAGCCGGTAACGCCATTCGGTCAGTAGCTTGTTGAGCAAAGGAGCTCCATGTAATTAATGCTTCCATTCTGATTATCATCAAACCTTGGCCATGCCAAGTCAATGCAAAAGAGGGCAGAATGGCACTCAAATGTCTGGTGAGCATCAATGCTTCACTTGCTGAACCGTGCACTCTCCTGACTACACCAGACGAGGCTCAGCATAAACAGTCCGATGGACCGCTCCTGAGCCGTGTGAAAGGCACTGGGCACTGGCAAGCACCCACTTAAGTCACACCAGCGTTGCCTGCGCTAGCCCAGCAGAAAAGCAAGTATTCTTATCAATGTTTTTACTACCATTCGTATTACTAATATTACCATTATTCTGATCATTTCTATTATTGTCATCGTTAGTTATTTTCTTTGTTATCATTATCGTATTGCTGACATTATGATTAGCAGCATTAGTGTCTTATTACAAACACACTCTTGCCGTAACTATAATGCGCAGAGCCAAGGCACCACGCTCAAGCCGACTCGCATCTGCCGGACAAGCCTGAGGCGAAGGTCAAGAAGCTACTGTAGGGGACTTAATGATTATCTATACTATTTTTGTGGGGGGGGTCCGTACTATAATTATAGTACCATATGCCCCCAAAACCCAAATCTAATCATTAAGGCCCCTTTAGTCCTGTAGGAACCCCGCCCCCCGATTTTTGCCGAGCCGAGGGCTCAATGAACTCGAGGAGGTCCAAGTTTCCATCGTGATCCATGTCGACATACTCGAACAATGCCTTTACCTCATACCAGTTTCCAACATCTACCCGCCCGTCCAGTTCTGAGGCACGGGCAATACTCTCACTAGAACGCAGTAGTGGCTAAGGAGATATTTAGCACGGATAGGGGCGGTCGTCGTCGTCGGTGGCATTTTGGCTAACAGTTGGAACATGAGGCGACACTCGCCCGAAAGAGGTGCATCAGCTGCGTGCTGCCACATGGCATCATTGGCACTGTACCCCCACTTGACCATGGCTTGCCGGGCTCTTGTGATGCAGAGGACACGGTCCCGAGTCTGCCAGCAGCTTGTGAACTCGTGGCCAATAATTCCCACCTGGAATGGAAGACACAAACGTGGAGCTTCTCAACTGCAGCGATCCGAAAGCTGGAAGATGTACGTCTGTGCGGATCTGGCACCGGCATAGCAACAAACAACACGGAAACCATCACGAGCACGGACCTTGGACAATCTCCAGAAAGATCGGGCAGCGTGTGAAAGAAGTCCATGCACTACAGCACTGGTTGTTGGCAGTCTACGCTTTGCTGTGCTAATAGAAGGACAGGTTGCACAACGACATAGCCTCCAGCCGTCTTTGGAACATAATCACCTGCGCACACACATGCAAGCATTTGTACAAATATCTACTTTACATGTGTACACACACATATGCATGTAGATACATGCGCCCAACTTCTCTAAGGCATACGTACACATATAGAAATGTGTACCCATACACACGTACACTTGCACTGGGACCTGAGGAACCCGATCTTTCACCCTCTGCCCGACTCCATCAGTTCATTCCCGAGGTACGACAAACCCATAAAGAACTGGAGCCGTTACAGCGGAGTCGCCATAGCCGACAGTCGTCATCGTCACGACGCACAGCCAGAGGGCATGCTGCAAGCCTTGTCCAAAGCTTTCAACACCACAGCAATGTGTTATGTTGCCCCTCACACACACACACGCACACCCACACACACACACACACACACGCACACACACACACACGCTTTACTTGGTAGGGTGACAAAGTTGCAACTAGACCATCGAGTCTCACGAAAATCGAAACACAAGCCAGGCTTCTCACAGCCTGTCTTGAGTTAGGACGTGCTGACAGGGAGCTTGGAATTGCAGTCCTCATCAGGCACACAGGCATAAACGTCTGAATGCACTGCATATTTCGTCGAAGGTCCTCGTCTCGATCAAGTACAGCAAGCTGGACGCAAGCATCACAATCAGAGCCAGCCTCAGTAGCAAATCTGAACAATGCGGGCATATTCACACGCCTTGTGCTCCCAAGTCACGTGTACATTAGCACCGGGAGGGCTTCGAGCCTGAAACCATTCAAGGTGCAAGCACCATAGCTCAATCTGGGCAGGCCGGTCTTGCAACACTTGCAACCAAGCATCGAGTTCTTGAAGGCATCCTTGCTGATTCTTGAAGCAGGCACATCCAACGACTGAATCTTGCAACTGAGGACTGGCAGACGCATCGACTTGGGCAAGGCTCTACCAAGAGCCTGAAAGTCTCGAAATACCGAAGCAGCTTCAACAGACGAAGAATGGGCAGCGCGAAGAGAAGGATGACCTTCACACAGTTCTGCGGGCAGTGGGCTGCCGAACTCTCAAACTCATCCTAACTGCTTTCGGCTCGCGAAAGGCACCAAAAGCTGTCACAGTGAGCACACTTTCTGTACTCCGTCGCCTGGACAAGATTGAGCCCAGCCTTGGCACACCATCGCTCAAGCACAACTGCCATTTGCTTCAGCTTCAGCGACGACACATGTAAGGATGAAAATGAGACATAGCTTTCTGCAAAGGCGCACGCAAGTTGTCTGATTCTTTACATGCATGCTCAGAAGTTGTCATGGCAGAGAACGATGAACGGCCAAGGTGCCTGATCGTAAGGCACCTCCATCACAAAGCCAATGCTGGCCTCAGCACACGTGCTTCAATGTACGCAACTCTGCGCCCAGACATGTCCTACGCTCCTTCATGCTGTGTTTTGGGCAGTGTGTCAGATTTCAGAATTGTGCCGGACGTTAGCATTGCTAGCGTATTTTAGCAGCTATAGAAACCAATTCTGGGATTGCGCTGCAGAAGGCTAGAGACGCGCCTTGCGTCATGCCTTTCTGTTACATAGACAGCGCTCATCACAAGTCGTACGTGTGGAAACGATCTAGTCTTCGAGGACCTGTTATCGCAAAGCCGGTACTTGACTGTACACCTCCGCCCATTTTCACATATTTACATCCGTTGGTTTTTGTGTGCAGCGCTGTGTGGCACGAACCATTAGGCGAATCCGCTCGTTTCATCACAGCAAGGTTTTTGGCACTCTCATGTGTGCAGGCGAGCATGTGAATGGAGAGACAGAGGAGAGGTCGGGAGAGAGAAGTGATAGGCAGGGAGAGGCACACACATGCATTTATGTCTGTAGGTATGTGTGTGTGTATGTATGTATGTATGCATGGATGTGCGCACGTATGTTGGCATGTAGGTATGGAGTTATGTGTGCATGTATGTCTGTGCGTATTCTTGCACGCATGTGTGCGCTCTCAGTGTGCCGTAAGCGCATACGTAACCCGTCACGCGTAGACACACACAAACCTACACACATACATACATGTGGATTAGTAATGAAACCACATGCAACACGTACCGTATTGGTCTCGTCTTGTGGCTTGTCTCCACGCTTCAGCAGAGCCGCTCTGAGAGGTAAACCGAATGCCGACAGCATATCTGCCCAGTTCAGCATGTTCTTGAAGTACTCCCTCTTGGACGGAGCTGATAAAACTCGGCAAAGGAACCTTGGGGACTGAATCTGTGCCTATACCTACACAACCATTGCTCATTGCAATCTGCACAGGCTATGAACATGACAACACGGTAGCATCTGAGACCGGAGCTCTATCAAGAATATAGTGTCGAAGGATGTCTCCAGGAATGCTGCCATGGCTCCTTGCAGCAGCGAATCCTGCAGCGAGGGGCATCACAATCAGAATTCGATGATCTTCTAGGGACCTGTAGGAGGGTAGGGGGAGGGGGGTAGGGGACTATACTTCCGTGAATAGGCCTTGTTAAGTCCTTATTATAGGTATTGCGGCCCACTACACCCCTTCCCCTACCCCCCTAGGGGTTCTTATCATGATCACTAACCAGGACAACTTCTGCTTGCGCCCAGTCCTGCGTGACCTGCAAGTTGGTCACAAGGATGCTGAGAATCACTGCAACCTGATCCCAGGCGGAAGCTTGCAGCGTTTACGATATCCGTAGAGCCTTCAGCCTGCAACCATAAGATGTCTACGAACTTCTCAATGTTAATACAGCGATGGCTCGACATGTCGAAAGCTACGGAGAATCTTCCTGTGGCAGTGTCGGTACGAGCCCGAGCCCCTCCGCCTTGAGCGCCTGCGAGATCCACCAAGCAGCTCCTGCAACTCATGCCACTTGACTCGGCATCTAACTCTGCTAATGAACCGAGCACTTCGCAGAACTAAGCAAAGTACTGCTGGACTCTGGGTCATCGAGCATCTCCCATATGTCATCACAGCGGCTGCGGTCTCAGTCTGGTTCGGTAAACGCACAATGCTGCTAAGTGCTTCTGCTCTGCTTCGGCTTCGAACCCTAAAGTCCAAGGCGCACAGCAGGCGCATCATTGGCTTTGTTGCAGCCGCCTCATCCTGATGCTCCAACTTCTCGTCTTCTTCTTGCCAACAAAATGCAAAGGCATCCCTCTCTCTCCTCTCTTTCTTTCTCCAGGCTTGAGGGCGTGCCCCCGCGGGAGCAGCCCGTTCGGTTGGAGGGGTGCACGGTTTTACGTGCGAAAAAGGTGGTGCACTCCGCAGCCCGAGCATTACATACCCCGATACAACAGTGAGTCTCCCAAAATGCGCGGTAACGACTCTGTGTTCTGCTCAGGCCTCGCTGCTTGTTCTCGCACCTCTCTCTCTCTCTATGCCGTTGCGGCTGCAGCTTACAATGCGTGGTTGTGTTGGACAACTCTGTGAGCAAGACCTTGCCCCCGAAGATTTGCGTCGCTATCTTCAGGTCCACTGTCCGGGCCTTGGATGAACATCGTCGGACCAACGCATTCGATGAGGAACTGAAGTGGCGAGCTCGGCAAACCTGATAACCCGCAGGACAAGCTGCCTTATGAACATGCCTCCGTAGTCGAGGTGCCGCATCCTTGCCGCTTGCGAGTCCGAAGATGCACCACCAAATATGAGAATGTGAATGCTTGGGGCCCTGGCAGGATCATGGGCCTCGCCTTCTGACGTTTCCTGCGAAATTCGGGAAACATCATCCTTTGGGGCGGGCAACCCGCGACTCGATGCCACAATCGCGCAGCAGAACTCGGGGCCGATGCAACCAGGTCGCATCACACCACGCGACAGTCCCTTGCCGATTTCCGAAGCTGACTACCTGATGCCGCAGGGCTGTCGACTCAGCCTTAGTTGTTCTGCTTGGTCTTAAGCGCGCAGCTGGTGCATGTGATCTGGTCAATTCGCACGGAGCACAGAAATTCTGAAGGAAAAGAGAAGCGATCTAAGTAGGCACATGCCTGAATCGAATTTGTCAGACAAGGATCCAAGTTTGCATCGCTGTCAGACATTGCAAAAGAATCCGGTACCACTGCAAAAAGCGGCTCTCCTGGCGCGGCATACAGTATCTGCCTATGTACTTATGGCCCAGCTCATACCTGTCGCTTGCTCAGCTAAGGTGGTCCCGACGAGCCGGCGTCTGAAACGGAGGACTGCTTTCTTCTGTGGGTCTGTGTGGCAGGCCGTCCTTTCACCGCATGGGCATGGCCCTCCTTCACGTGAGCAGGATGTGGCCCACCAGCCGCACCGTGGAGCAGCTGTGCCAGACAAGCATCTACCTTCTCCAAACACAAACTGCATGCAGATCTGTTTCTCACTGCTCTGACCACACGTGTTCCTTGTGCCATTGCCTGCTGGGAGATGCGATCCAAGGCTACCTCAATCCTCGCGTACTCGCTCATGGCGGTGCCTCGGCGACTGTGCCAAGCCCCAAATCCAAATTCCTCTGTATTTGGACTTGAGCTTGGGGCCTCCTGAAGCTGTTGCACCCTCGTGCTTCGACGTTTTCCTGGGCTACTGAATCTTCAGCTGAAGCTGTCAAATACCAAGTGCTGGGAAAAGGAGTGAGCAAACAGAAGCTGTTCCGGACAAGAATCAGGATCGGTCTTGCCGCCTTGGCTGCATGCGTCGCTCCGTCGTCTACCTCCTCCACTTGCCACCTGAGCGGCGTCCGGACAGTCAAAACCAGGCGCCCACGCACCCGAATCTCTGAGCTCGGGGCGGCAAGACGTCATCTGAAGGCATCGAAGCGCTCCAGGACTATCAGCTAGCGCGGCGCAACGCAGAGGGGCAGCTGCATGCGGTTCGAGACAATGCGCACCTGTTGCCTGTTCTCTGCCAACTTATGGACGTCCAAAAAAACTTGGACGAAGCAGCTGTGCCCAAGAATCAATTCGCGAATCCCTCCCTGCAAGCCCATGGCAGCGGGAAGAATCACATGTGAGCATCGTGCTGCCTGCTTAGCTGGCCACATCGTCTTGTTGCGCTAAGTGCCTATCTCAACCTCAACCTTCCCGATCCAACGTTATGGAGGAGGCGATCCAAAGAACCCACGGCTTGGACTTCCAACTTGCACTCTTGCTGCATTGACACTCTCGACGTTTTGGTGGACCTGTGTACTGCTAGATTTGAGATGAGTTTGGGATTGCCCGCGGCCTGCAGCTTCGACTGATGAAGGAGTGTATGGCGCAGGCTGAACATATAGATGGTCGCAAAATTCTGGGGACTGCAGAAACAGAAACAAGCTGCAAACAATCATTCAACATATTAGTTGCTGGTAACATCCACAGTGGAATCCACAGGGCACCATCATCTCGCGTCGCCCAAAGGTGATCTTAGGATCAACTTGTGTCTGGAACGGAAGTGGAAGGTTGGTAGGCAAGTCTTGCTGGAATCGTACAAATCTTAATGCACACTCGGCGTGCCTTCGCGTCATCTTCCTCGCCTGAGCTCTGGCAGCCTGCACGTGGTGCGATGGATCCCGGCCAGTATGAATCAGAATACAGAAACATATGAGGCTGCAGAATCTTTCGTCAGATGGATCTCATCGCCATCAGCATCATCATCTTCATGAGCAGCAGGACCGTCATCATTGTTATTGACAGCCGCTGCGGCGGCAGCAATCGGAATTCACGAATGAATACCCCTGTCGGGGGAATTACTGGCTCGTCGAAAAAGACTTTGGCCTGGACCCACTGGTAGCTCTTCAACCTCGGGCACCGTCGAGGCAAGCATCGCTCCCTCAAGAGGTCCGTGTTTTCGAGTCTCAGAGCGCTCGACAGGCGGAGGATAGACTGAGCAAATCTTGCCATGCGAAGGCGGATTTATTGATCTTGGTTTGGACCGTGGACCTCGCTGAAGCATAGCCAGCTTAGCCCGTCGCTGCACCGGGGAAGATCTCCTTGATGCTCATGAACCTCTGTAGCAGGTGCCCGGTTGGAGCCCAGACTTGTCGCGTGCTTCAAACTGACTCCGCACACCGGACCGGACCGCGTTTTTCACCGCTTGTGGGACTTGCAATCAAGGTTCAGGAACTTAGTGGCGAGTTTTCAAAGAGCCACTTCAAAAAATGCGGCTACGGGGAGAACAAGCCTGCCTCATGCTGCAAATGCTGACATCATCTTGCGTGCCGCAGCCGCACTCCAGACATTATAAAATGAAGTTCCCTCGGAGTATACTTCAGAAACGGCGCCAGAGCCTCAGTTCTCAAAACAGCTCGCGGCAAACACTGGGCTCGGAACCACCACTTGGGTATGCCTTAAGATGTGTAGGAAGATGTGCCGACCTGCACCAGGAAAACAACAAACCAGAGTTATGGAATCGAAGCAAAGCTTCTGTCGGCCCACAGCCTTCGGATAGTCGCCATCCCGGCTACTTTTGAAAGCCAGCTGAGCTGCCTGTCGGCCAGGTCATTGCCATGCCACAAACTTAAGTTCACGAAAACTCCTCTGTGCGCTGCGGCGCCTTGACCAGCTGTGTCATCCAGGGCTCGGACTTCTTCCTGCGACAATGGAGACTGACAAAGACTTCTTGCTCAGGAAATGCTCCATGATGTGCGCAGAATACCCGTTTCTTTACAAGATCAACGCTGTGTCTGCTGCCAACTATGAAATCCGAAAACCCTCACTCTCAGGTGACAGCACAGGAAGCTTGTAGCTACTTCCCTCTGCCAAGCGGGGCTACTGTCAGCCATGTTTTTGCAATGCCTATTCATGCCTTCGGGGAGGACCTCAAGATAACGAGGTCGACAGCACAGTCGACAGCAGCTGCTGCTGCTGCTGCAGCAGCAGCAGAAGCGGCAAAGTAGCCAGCAGCATTTGCAGCAGCAGCAACAACAAAACAAAAAGAAAAACAGGAACAGGAACGGAAACGGCAAGGGCAACCGCAACCACAGCAACAGCACCAGCAGCGGCAGCACCAACAGCAGCAACAGCAACGGTTGTCGTGGTTGTTGGGGTGGTATGGTTGTGTTGCTTGTGGTTGTGGTTGGGGACTGCCGCTGCGGTTTGCTGTGGTGGTGGTGGTGGTGGTGGTGGTGGTGGTGGTGGTGGTGGTGGTGGTGGTGGTGGTGGTGGTGGTGGTGGTGGTGGTGGTGGTGGTGGTGGTTGGTGGTGGTGTGGGCTGTTGTTTTTATGTGTCTGGTGCGGTTGCTGTTGCTGCACTGTTACTGTTGTTCTTGTTATTGTTGTGTGTGGTGCTGGTGCTGGTGCTGGTGGCGCTGGCGCTGGCGTGGCGCGGCGCTGGCGCTGGCGCTGGCGCTGGCGCTGGCGCTGGCGCTGGCGGTGGCGGTGGCGGTGGCGGTGGCGGTGGCGGTGGCGGTGGCGGTGGCGGGGGGGTGGTGTGGTGTAGTGGTGGTCTTGGTGGTCTTGGTGGTCTTGGTGGTGTTGGTGCTGTTGGTGCTGTTGGTGGTGCTGTTGCTGTTGCCAATGCTGTTGCTGTTGGCACTAGCGGTAGCGGTCAGTGAAGACATACAGGTAACCAAGATCCTATGGATATGCACATGCACATTGTCTTAAATGTGGGTATGTTGTTGAATGCTACATCGGGAATGCAGCCTTGGAAATTGGTGGCAATGCCCGCCAGACCGGTAGCACCGCAATAAGATCAACCTACACGATGTGCCGTTGGCCTACATGTGCCAGAAGCCAAGTCAAAGTCTTTCCCGATCGGGTGCAGAGGCAACTGTCTCTTGTGCCAAGTTCTGATGGACTCTCTATGCACAGATTCAAGGTCAACGTAGAGAACGTGACCAAGGCCTGCTCAGCATTGTGGAAAGCTGGGCCCGAAGGGCTCCAGATCGCTGCAGAAAGTTCTGGAGCCAAGCATCCTTCACGCTGATCGTAGCAAGGCTCTCCCGTGTGGCCCAACACCAGACAGCTAGTTCGATGCGCCTGCTTTCCTTTCAGTTTCGCCTGCGCTGATAGGCTTTGTGCTTCCCCATGGTCTGTTCAACCACTTGACAGTGCCTCGATGGTCTTCTCGTCCTTGGCAATCGCGGCGTCCAGCTTCATCAGGGCATCGACACTGCAGCCCTGCGGTCCAACAGTCGATATGCGAGTTTTCCAGGAACTACAACCTCCTGGATCCTCCCAGCCTCTTCCAGACAGCTCTCGATGGCAGAGACACAGCCCTCGTCGCACTCGAGGACCTGCAAACATGAAACTCTTAAGCTCCGGAAGAGCCACTCCGGAGCCCGCAGCGTTCAGGCATGGGCGGGAAGCTCCCAGCTCTTGTCAGCTGCCTGGCAAACGCCCCAGGTCTTCGCTGTACTCTGCATCAGGGGATCCATCCACCAGTAATAGTAACATAGTATTCAGGACCGCTGTCAATCTGTACTTGTCTACAACACCTTCCTTTCCTTTGTAGTGCCACTTGTAGACAAAGCTGCCACGTGCCGGTTCTTCCAAAGGCAGGACAGACTTTTGCAGAGACTTCGAAAAGACATCCGGATAGCGCTGTTTGTGCCAGCTAAATAACTAAGCTAGCCAGCCGCGGGCCCTCGACACAGCTCGTTGGCCTCTTATTACCTTCTCAATCTCGCTCTCCAAGCTGGTGTTCTACACGAGATCTGCTTCGACAGGCTTGTCCATAGAATCCTTTTGGGCTAAGACGTGTAGAACTCCAACCCTGGATATCCTTTGCTGATGCCATGAGCTCACATGCCTTTGCCTGCTTCGCAGGGTTACTGGGCACTTTCCCCATCAAGAAGTCTCGCAGCTCCTCCGTACACACATCAGATTTCGCGCGGTTGGTGAGTACCGTTTACATCAAATGCTGACAAGTCCTGGCTGCGATCCAAGTTGACTTTGCCAGATGTGGCACCTCGCCGTATCACCCGCGCCCCGCGAGACGCAGTTCTTGAGGCACAGCAGTTTTTGTGCCTTGAATGATTTTGCTGGATTGTCCTGCCGGCATGCTTGTTTACGCTCGTAGACAACATCATCCCAGGCACTTGTGACTCAAAAAACGAGTTGCAGACGGAAATCGGCTGGTCTTGAATGCGAGCCAGGCAAAATTTCCAATCAACGTCGAGCAACTTAGCGAGCGATGCTCGGTTCGTCAACCGGCATGCAAGACCAATGTCGAACAACTAGTGCAACTGCCCTTTGCAGAGGCTCCTCGAGGGAGTGCTGGCATCGAGGTGATGAAGGTCCCTCCAAGTTCAGTCACTAATCTCACACACAAACTCTGTCATTGCGAGACCTGTCAGACAGCTTTGGCCGTGGCTGTTCCAATAGAAGCAGGCCACGGCCATGACGACGGCACAACGAAGCCTCAGTAGAAATGTAGCGCAACACGGCCAGGAAACACGCACCCCCCATCCGCCAGCACCACCAACAACAACCCCAAGTAACAACGAGGAGCGACCAGCAACTGACCATCGAAACCTCTACTCTCTCTCTCTCTCGATGCGCAAACATCCGAAGACGTCTTTGCGTGGCCCCTTTGGGCGACCTACATAGGCCGGCTATCTCAGTGGACAGCATAACCAGGGCAACTAGCGACAATCAGGAAAAGCTGAACCTTGGGCTTCAGCTTATGTCATTAACTAACTGGTACGGCATCCGGACCGATAGTCCCTATGAGCGATGCCTGCTTGCGACTGTACACCACGAGGCGGCAGAAGCCGGACGTTTCGCAAGTTACCGGCTACTTTCAGATGACCCGATAGGTCCATATACATCTCGATCATTTGGAAAGAAGATAATGCAGCGTTCAGCATACCATGCTCCAGAGGCAGCATCACAGCAAATCAGAATGACCAGCCGCAGTATCAGCATCAGCATTTGAGTGCACGCCGTACCTCCACCAGACATCATGTGGCGATGCAAACGAAAGTACATGCGCATCGAAATCAGCAGAAGCTTGATATGGCAACCGGCTCTTTGACTGCGATGCCCTCACAATTCCCCGGACGTGACATCACCATCTCAAAACTCAAAACTCCTCGTAGGGATCCGCGACTGCATTATCCAGATGCCACAGCTTGAAACCTTGTCGGCGCAGGAATTCCATGTCGCAGTCCGTAAGCCTCCACTCGTCCCTCACATGGTATGTTCCAAGGACAAATCTGTCATTGACCCATGGCAGAACCGCGTGCCTGAGGCGCGCGTTGAAGCGCAAGCCAGGAAGCTCAATGCGTTTGATGTGGCCAACAGGCCCATCGGGCTGCAACTGAACATCACCATCTAGGCTTTCATGCCAGAGCTCACCTCCCTGCCAATTGCTCAGCGGAAGCAAGATATTATCAATCATGGCATGATTGTGCGCGTCAACATGCACTGCACTTGGGACGTTCAAGTGAAGGAAAATGCTGCTGAAAAGTGCATCTGGACAGAGCGTACGGATAATGGCACATAGTAAGCGGGTGGTCCATAACATGGACCTGGTATTGGTGTGTACCGCTGCAACGCCTCCACGAACGCATGCACCAAGGGTAAGTGATCGTGGCTCCTGATGTGCATCCAAATCTGTGGAAACATGTCTGTCATGCACCTTTGTAGGGGCACCGTCAAAGAGGCGACGCAGCTGATGATAATACACCCACTTCCCCCGAATACAGGCTTGTGCCAGTGCTTCATATTGAGTCTCCGGCTCAGGGTCGGACCAAGACCAGGTTTCCGGAATTGCTAATGAAAAACCTGCATGACTGTCCCCGGTGTACAGGCTGAGTGCCTGCTCTGCACAAATCAGCTGCAGTCGAGCATTAACATCGCTCGACTGTGCCTGGACTGCTGGCCTAAAGAAGTGCACAAAGTTCCTCGAAGTCACTTGCCGGGGTCGTTTGCTCGGTCGAACATCCCCCGCATGATCGGTGCGCATGCCTGTGGAGGCATGTTGAGAAACACCGGACACCTCTCCTTCGTTGGACTCATTGGCATCAAGATCCTGTGGAGCGTGGCCGCTGCTGCTCGGG